CAAAGAGAAGACAGATGCAAACGACTTTTTTCTTACCAAAACGATTGCAAATCTCTCCTCCAGTTCACCTGCGTCTGGCATGGGGAGTTTCAGGGGCATGTTGTGTCCCCTGAGATCAGTGTGGTGGTCCATGCTCCCTGCGTTCCCCATGATTCCTCTTTTGACCAGAAACCCCAACTTTTTCCCCTCTTAGTCCACTTGAGAAAAAAACAAAACAAAAAAAAACTCTGCACGGCGATAAAAAAGGGGAAATATCCGCACGCTCTTCGCTTTGCTCAGTCGCCCTGGCAGGATCCTCGCAGGTTTATCCAGATCACTTCTTCTTCTTCTTCAACATAAAGCACATGTGAGGGAAGTAACATAATGCGACGGGTCCGAGCGCAGGCGGCGGCGGCGGCAGAGGAGTCCCTGATGAAACATTTTCACGGCAAAGGGAAGAAACCTGGAAACGTGACTCCTCTTACTCACTCGGACCTTTTCTATGCAGTTATCCGTATCTTGCACAATTTCGGCTCCACTCCCAGCCGGTAGTAATGACGACGAGCATGATTCACGATTACTGCAACCCTATCTGTTACTTAGTAGTGACTGAGTGAATGAGTGAGTGAGCGGGTCCGGCTTTCCTAATCCCTCCACTGCTGACCAGCTAGTTAAGGAGGAGGGGGTGTCCACACGCTCACACACACTTGGACACACTCGCAGCCTGCGCGCACACTCTCATCCCTCTTTTTACAATGAGTCCTTTCAGGGGGGCGAGCCTCCCACTTCTTCTTGGGGCGTAGCTCCCAAAGCCGTAGCTAAGGAGATGCTCGGTGTTGCATTGTGGTACTTTGAGTCCAGAGTCAGGGGCCAGTAATCAAGGGACGCCCTCGTGCAAAAGAAGAGCGAGTGCAGGGACTCTGTGAAGTGAATCCATCCTTCTTACGGTGTGTTTTTCACTTTTTGTGTAGATAAACTTAATTTGTTATATAATATCCTGCCAAACTCTGTCACAATGACTTCATTAGTCAAGCGTTTTCTACACATGTATGATTATCAGTTTTGAGCTTAACCAGTTATCATATTGAACAATGTTTTCCAAAAACAGCACATGAGTGTAATAAATCAGTAACTCCAGGCATCATAAGTAGTCACAATGAGATAAGGCTATTTTAATTTACACCTATTTCTAAATTTTGACCATGACTATTTGAGGGAAAAGATTTGCACACAATGACCTTTTCCCTCAGAACAGTCATTTATTAGACAATATTTATTGGCTGAAAATGTGCGAACCAATCACTGCGGTCAAAGCAACAAACACAGACAGGTGTTTTTAATTGTGCGTACTTTTCTATAGCAACAGCAAACTTATAACTTATAACTTTTAACAGGAAGCGATCTCCAGCAGAATCAGGCTCCGGGTGGGACAGCTATGTGGTGGAAAAGAGAGACCTCTAAAAAACGGGACAAATGACAGCTAAACAAAGATGCGAGGAAAGTTAATAATGGATGGATGGAGAAGTGCCCAGTGCATCAGGCAAAGTCCCTCAATGTGACTAAGGGGTGGTTCAGGATCATAACATCCAACCCAAACTATAAGCTTGATCAAAACAGTTTATCAGCTATTTCAAACATTTCCCCCCCAATGAACTTACATTTTAAAAAACTAACTCTTGAACCTCTTGAACATTGGATTCAGTGTAAAATGTGATGACCAACATTCAGTGACAGTAGTAGCAGTCTGCTCAGTTGTGACACCTTAACATTTGTGTAATAAACATATATACATATATATCTGTATTATACTAAGTACATATTCAGTGGTGAAGGGCAGTCAACATCCACTGTAGAGTTCCTATCAGATCCAGTCTGTTTTTGTTTTTAAACATATTAGGATCTTCAACATGGCTTAAAATGAAACCTGATGCGGTCAGGGTGGAGACCACATTACGCACAACTGGGTGACATCAGCATGCAACCTTTTGGAGAAAATCCAGAGGTTCTCCAGATGCACAGTGCTTTCATTCAGCCTGCTTGACTGACTGAGTAGGGGAGGGTGTCATATATGAGGTTACTTGGCTGCAAACACCAAGCATGCAAAGCACAGCTGACTGACCTCATTCGCTCATTACGTGTTTAAAGTTGAGTATTGTTATTTTGCTCTGTAAGAACCCCTCCCCCCTGCACTGGCTTATTCAAAAGCCATTTATGCTCATTTTGATGTCTGAAAATACTAATTTACCAACAAATTTATTTCATACACCAATTCAACTGCTCAATAACACAAATAGCTTGTCATATGGCAGCTCAGTGCATTTAGATATGTTGACACGCTCAAGGTGATCTGCTGAAGTTTAAACTGAGCATCAGAATTAGTGCCAGGCGGCCTAGTGAGCGGCAGTTCTCTGGGTGAAAATGCCTTGTTGATGTTGAGGTCAGAGGAGAACGATTAGACTGCTTTGAGCTAATATTACAACCAAGGTACACAGAAGAGCATCTCTGTACACACAATATGTAGAACCAGTAGCAGAAGACCACACCGGGTGCTACTCTTGTAAGCTAAGAGGAAAATGATGCTGTATTTTGCATAGACTTACCAAAACTGGACAACAGAAGATTGGAAAAACATTGCCTGGTCTGATAAGTCTTGATTTCTGCTGCAACTTTTAATGGTTGGATGGTAGAACCAGAATCTGGTGTAAACCTGTGAAAACATGGAGCCATCCTGCCTTGTATCAGCGGTTCAAACTGGTGGTGTAATTTTGTTTGAGATATTTTATTTGTATGCTTTTACAGACTTTTGGGGCTCCATGTTTTTTTTATGGCAATATAAATAACAACGATAATAATGTCAACATAATTTAACTTTGAATCTTGCATTTGTTCTCTGAAAATTGTTTCTTTTTCTCTACATAAATCTAAATGTGCAGCTCACTCTATAATCCACCTATTATCTCAGACAATAAACAGCCCTTACTTTACAATGATCAGCACATGACACGAGCTCAACAATGACTTAACATTAAAACAATGACAACAACACTGTGTGTCGATTAAGTGCAGTGTCAAACAAATGAGGTTGTGTGCTGAAATAACAAGCGTTCCTGACACAGCGGACGGTGACACAGCAGCAATAAAAACAAACAGTGAGGAAGACTGTTTCATTCTTACCCCTCAAAGTAAATAATGGTTTCATTTTTAGTAGATATAGAATGTGCAGAAAGGTGATTAACATAAGCTTAATTAAAATAAACTGATCATTTTTCTTTTACTCATTTAATCAAGAGCACCTCAGTTTTCTACCTAACACAAATTGCTGAATAATCTTCCAAAGACTGTGCATTAGATGCCAGGAGGATGTTGCATGTATGGGTGGAGGCGGCATCTTGCAGCTGCATTTCTGAAAAATCTTGGGGGGGTGGTATGATGGCCTCAGATATGTCCATGAGGAAATATAAAATGCAAAAGAGGTGCCAAAAATAAAAGCAGCACAATCACGCCAGTGTGTGAGGAATCTCACAGGGAGTTCACTTGGCTGCTCAGTTTAGTAACATCTGTGAAATCAAGCTCTCTTAAAAGGAGACTCATGAAGTTATAGCCTTCATAAGGCTCGAGTAGATTAACAAATGTGTCTTTGTATTTTAACTTATGGCGCTGGAGGGTGCAGTGATTGAATCAAGTACCAACAGATCGTAAGGATAATGGTGCCATCTAGTGTATATTGCTTCCTACTCTGGAGCAGATTAAGACAAAGCTAAATGTCCACAACCCTTTAAAGGAAGACTAAATAACCTGATCATTATGGTTTAATGGTCAGGGGTACCAAACATATGGGCCAGGGGCCAGAAGTAGCCTGCCAAGGACTCAAATCTGGGCCACAGGACACCTTTCAAAAAAAAAAAA